ATCCTTCTCGGCACCATTCCAAGAACCCTCAGACGGCATTCCTGATGAACCACACAGAACATCAGGTGATGGACCGTGTCATCTGACACCCCGCCACACCTAGCACAGTTAGGGTTAACAAAACTGTTACTCCTTGCCCCGTATCGACCCGTCCTTAATGAGCCACATATGGCTCTTAGGGCATGACGGCGCATCCGAAACCTCAGAGAACGCTTCAAAATAACCAAGTGATGGTTGCTCGTAATGAAGCTCCGAATCGTCTTGCTCCTAATCTCCTGCCAGTGGGTATACATGGGAAACTTCCTTCGTATTGATTGAGACACCAGCTCCTGTAAGTGACTACCAGGTATTGGGACAGTCCTGGGAGTGCCAACAATGGAGCCACTACGGGCCATACCGTCAGCAATCGAGTTACCAGTCAGACCCGCGTGCCCGCGGACCCAAATAAACCTAAAGTCAATGTTGGCGCCACGTGCAAGGTCAACAATGACAGAGGATAGTCGTGACCTCCTCCTCGAAAGGAGGGATTTCAAGACAGCCTGTGAGTCCGACGCAATCAGTATGGCGGAGTAACCACCAGTCTCGATTGCCTTCTTCATAGCCTCCAATATTGCTAAGGCTTCAACCTGCGCAATGTTGGCAAAGTGTGGTAAACCTCACCCGACCATATCCTATTATATCAGAGTCCGCATAATAGCCTGCTCCGACTCGAGTGATATCACCATCATTATCATCGGTGGCCGGTGTTCGGCTACCATCAGTATAGATGACCACCTCAACTTCTGGAAAGATCACCTTTCCCCTAATGAAGCCATCCGTCATCGTACCAGTGACCTCTCCGCCACTACCAATATAGATCCATTCCCTCGGAAGAGGAGAGCAATCAGTGACAGTGTAATCCACAGTACCCTCCACAGGATATGGTCGACTTACCACAGCCTCCCACCATTTCGGACTTGGGGGGCAACCTCTGAACCATAGAGACGCAAAACGAACGCACAGCCTCTCATAAATAGTAGCCCTTCTATCACTCAAGAGGGCACATACATAAGCCAGGATTGGCCGTTCCTGGAACGCCCAGTAACACCTTCTCCAATCGGAGATCGGCCGCAGAGATCCTCTTACGAGTAGTCTTGATTCGCAAGCGGTCACCCCAGCACGCCAAGCCATAGGCCAGGACCCCCGTAATGTGGTTCCTGATCACCTCCCGTCCTCAGAGGACGGTCCTCTAGGACTGAGTGTTGAACAACCCTCTTTCCCTACAAGACGTCGGCACATCTCAATCTCTCTTCTAGCTCGAGCCACTGCCTCCTCGAAGTGAGGCAACCAAGAGCCACCAAGGGTTAATCTCATACCCAGGTAGCCAATAGCCGGCCTGACTTTTATACCCCGGATATGATCATACCGTTCTACGAAGGTTTTATCACCCAAGAGAACACTCTTCTCCTCACTAATGTTAAGACCAAGGGCAGGAAGATGTTGAGCCAGATTGTCCAGGAGCCTGCCCACAGCATCAACCACAGCTTGAACATCTTCACCAGCCAGTATCACCAGAGTATCATCAGCATAGACCACAGGTATTAATTTGACCTCATCAGTGGAACAGTTTTCAATAATACCCATCAGGGTTGTGTGGAATATACGCTACTATTATGCCCCTCCGCTCATAACAGTAGTAGTACTGTGCTTTGTGTTATCATCCTCTCATTTACTGAGGACTGACCATTTGTCAGTGTGACTCCTCTCGCCTATAATTTGATGCCCGTCGGTTAACTCGGTTAACGAGCTCCTATGGTTTGCCTGCGTTCTATGCCATAGAATCTATGGACGTATGCTGAACTGCTTTTTCAAA